CCAGAAACCCTGACGTGGGCAGAGGTCGGATTATTAACCCTATTTTACTGGTGTGGACCTAAGCCCAGACACTCATGCAAGATTCTTAGTAAGTGTCCGGGACAGCTGCTGACCTGGTGAGCCGATCCCTGGACCACCTGGTTTCCGGAAGTGGGGCCATACGCCTAACTCCCTTCTCCTGGGGCCAGACCTGCCCTTGCAATGTGCCCACAGCCTGCATGAAGTGGGGGTCACTGGGCTCCCAAGAAGGCCGTTTAGACAACTCAGCCCAGGTCCTGGCTGGCTGTCCCCTATCTCCCTGTAAGGTTTTTAATCAGCCGGCTCGTTGCACACAGGCTGGGCTGTAGACAGTGCGGTCACAAGGTTCCAGAGAGCCACGAGGATGATATAAAGATGTGTCCACTCTACCTCTGTTTATGGGCTGTCTCTGCCCCTGGGATGAAATCTCCAGGCCACCTGGGACTCTGGTCCGCTGCTCCAGCCTGAGCCCCGGAGAGTCATGCCCAGCCTGCAGATGGCCCTATAACACTCTGGGTTCCTAATCTGGGAATGGGAAGCAGCAAAGGAGGAGGACCTTCAGAGTCAGGGCACCTGGAGTTGAGATCTGAATTTCCAACCTGCTGACTGTAACGCTGGGAAAGTCCCCGCCCTCCATGAGCCTCAGTCTCCTTGTTGGTGAAGTAGAAATATGAAGCCCCGTCTCCGTGCCACGGGAGCAGATGAGCTAATATACACAAAGTAGCTCACATGAAGGAGCCACTCAATTCTCCCCTCCTGGTTTCAGGGTAGGATAAGTAGGACCAATTTGTTGGTGGTGGAGGAAGCCTGGGAATAGTCTGCTCCTCGACTGGAAACTGCCGGAGCCCAGAGTCTAGCACAGGGCTGGACACATAGGACAGACCCTGGAATGGGGGCGGAGGCCCAGACACAGGCCTCCAAGCTCAAGAGGAAAGGGACGTGCTCAAGGTCTCACCAAGTGCTAGTTCCAGGGGTCCATTCTGAGTCCTATGCTCTTTTCGCAAGGAAAGGCAGGTGCCTCCAAGGACAATGGATACAAATCCTGAGCCCTGATCACACGCCACAGCAGGAGGTGAATGGCCCTCCCCTTACTGGGTATTTCTAAGGTCACCAGTCTAAAGAAGACGGACAGATAGGGTGGGGTCAGAATGTTTGTAGCCATCCCAATCTCCCTCTTCCCTGTTGCATGCAGGGCCCCTCTTTCCCCCTTGCTCAGCCCCACTTGCATTTAGAGGTGAGAAGAAAGAAGAAGAAGAAGACAAGAAGAAGAAGAAGAAGAAGAAGAAGAAGAAGTAGTAGTAGTAGAAGTAGTAGTAGTAGTAGAAGTAGAAGTAGTAGTAGTAGTAGCATTAGTAGTGGTATTAGTAGTAGTAGAAGTAGTAGAAGTAGTAGTA